TATACATATATAAATATATATATACTCAAGTAGCATGGCATCACATTTACAGGTAACAAGAGCTTAAACTAAAAACCTTGCACACCTCAGTAGAAACCGATAGGCAGTCCACGTGTGCTGCTTAACTCCTCGGCTGTTGGGCTCATCGTCCAGACATGTGCCATACCCTGCAGCCCTTACCAGGAAGTGAGTGCACGTATGTGGTGTAGAGATGATTATGTGTACTCGCAGTATCGACGTTGGTGTGTTGTCCAGAAATATATATGTAGAGTCGTACTATAGGTGTGTATTTGATGCGTTTATGTGTGAGTGAGTGTGAGAGTGTGTATACGCGAGTGAGTGTGAGTGTGTGTATACGTGAGTGAGTTTAAGTGTGTGAGCGTGATCTTTTGATACGTGTACAGGTGTGTTTTTGATATGTAGTACTCATGCAATGAAGACCAAAGAGGGTTTGGACGTCCCACCACACAGCCCAAATGACACTCACTTATCCACACAGCCACACACTGTGTGAGACTCACCTGGATACTCCACAATGAACACATGGCTGTTTATCTCGTCGCAGATGTGCTCCTCAAAGAACTCTGTAGCCAATCCCAAGTCCTCTGCATTGCCATGGAGATACAGCACAACCCGCGTGCACACAGGCAGCGACGGCGGTTGTGTATCAGACGCATAGGAGTGGCGGTGGGGGGGACGTGCGGGTATAAACACACACGGAAACTCCTCGGCTGCTGTGTAGTCTGAGCGCAGGAAGATCAGCTGATCCTGGAAACTACGCACGGGGCGTGGGTGTATGGGGGCAGGGAGGTTAGTGATTAAGACCAAGACAAAGGGATGAGTGTACTGGAGAGAGCAAAGATAGAGATGGTGGGCTTGTGGAGGTGAATCGGATATAGATATAGTCAACAAGGGAAAAGGCAAATGTGCGGGAATACTTGTGGTCTAATGATGCACTCACGATATATATATATATATACATACATACATACACACACACACACACACACACACACACACATATATATATATATATATATATATATATATATATATAAGCAAACACAATCGCACACCCACACACACATGTATAGATATACATATTTGTATATGGA